CAATATTTAACAAGTGAAATAAATATCGACCAATAGGGAGTGTACATTTAAGTTCCAAGGACATCATTAGACTTAACATGATAATGATTGGTATCTTATTCTGCATCCATTACACCTCCACATTTTTTGGAGATCCGGAGTTGATATCCGGATTTCTAAAATTTTCTGCGTCCGTCCTCACCCGCGAAATAATGTTGGGTCCTCATATACCCAAATAACAGTTAGTCTGATTCTATTCAAAGCATAGTTCCCGCATTGAGTAGAGGGTCCACTCGAACTCACTAGATGATGAGGATCAGCGACACTAGATATGAGGTCATTAAGATTTGATTCTTGTGAAACGTATTCATCAGACCTCTTCAAAACTCCATTAGTGGATAATAGATCACTAAAATAAACAGCATTTTTGAAATTTGTATCGGATCTGTGACCATTATTCGATGCACGGGACACATTTTCTGGCACGAGGGGTTCTTCTTGTGAGCTGGATGCCTCACTGTCTGCACATGTTTCGGGCACAGTGGGATTTGAACACACGACGTGGAATGCTTTTGAATTGGACATTTCTGGATCGCTGGACGGATCATGAGCGACTGCCTCGTTTGCATTACTGATCATCAGGGATTCATAGAGGCTTTTGTTTTCATATTCATACGTGCTGCAGTCATTTTCCAGTTCAGTATGCAAGTGAGAAATTAATTCATCAATTTCTTGCACATCTCCGAAACATTGGAGACTTAGCAGTCGCGTGCGTAAATTGTCCAAAACATTCAACTGGCTCTCTCTGAAACGCTGCTGTTGGCGATCAAGTAGTAGCTGCAATTGATCGGGAAGGATAGTCATTTTCTGAATCAGCAGGCTAATGAGAAATACTGTGATCAATTAACAACCAATGACTTCCAAGAACACCGACGATCAATCTGAATGCTGATTGGCCAAAATAATTATGCTGAATCTCGTCCAATTACACGGTTCAAAACTTTCTCTACCCCGTCGCCAATTGTTGTAACGTGTGGACTGCAGCTTATGATAAGCAGCGTTTTATCGATGAGAATCAGTGACACGGAAAACACGTAGTGGACGACCTAGTGCCCTGATTGGTCCCGCTTCCCTGTCTAGCCCAGCCAGTTGAGTCCAGAACGCGAGTCACAGCCTCTCAGTTATGAATCCTTATATTGCAAACATACTCTGTTTATATACCAACCAAACAGACCACATCGTACCATAACAATAGAAAACAACATTTACACAATATTTAACAAGTGAAATAAATATCGACCAATAGGGAGTGTACATTTAATTTCCAAGGACATCATTAGACTTAACATGATAATGATTGGTATCTTATTCTGCATCCATTGCACCTCCACATTTTTTGAAAATCCGGAGTTGATATCCGGATTTCTAAAATTTTCTGCGTCCGTCCTCACCCGCGAAATACTGTTGGGTGCTCATATACCCAAATAACAGTTAGTCTGATTCTATTCAAAGCATAGTTCCCGCATTGAGTAGAGGGTCCACTCGAACTCACTAGATGATGAGGATCAGCGACACTAGATATGAGGTCATTAAGATTTGATTCTTGTGAAACGTATTCATCAGACCTCTTCAAAACTCCATTAGTGGATAATAGATCACTAAAATAAACAGCATTTTTGAAATTTGTATCAGATCTGTGACCATTATTCGATGCACGGGACACATTTTCTGGCACGAGGGGTTCTTCTTGTGAGCTGGATGCCTCACTGTCTGCACATGTTTCGGGCACAGTGGGATTTGAACACACGACGTGGAATGCTTTTGAATTGGACATTTCTGGATCGCTGGACGGATCATGAGCGACTGCCTCGTTTGCATTACTGATCATCAGGGATTCATAGAGGCTTTTGTTTTCATATTCATACGTGCTGCAGTCATTTTCCAGTTCAGTATGCAAGTGAGAAATTAATTCATCAATTTCTTGCACATCTCCGAAACATTGGAGACTTAGCAGTCGCGTGCGTAAATTGTCCAAAACATTCAACTGGCTCTCTCTGAAACGCTGCTGTTGGCGATCAAGTAGTAGCTGCAATTGATCGGGAAGGATAGTCATTTTCTGAATCAGCAGGCTAATGAAAATACTGTGATCAATTAACAACCAATGACTTCCAAGAACACCGACGATCAATCTGAATGCTGATTGGCCAAAATAATTATGCTGAATCTCGTCCAATTACACGGTTCAAAACTTTCTCTACCCCGTCGCCAATTGTTGTAACGTGTGGACTGCAGCTTATGATAAGCAGCGTTTTATCGATGAGAATCAGTGACACGGAAAACACGTAGTGGACGACCTAGTGCCCTGATTGGTCCCGCTTCCCTGTCTAGCCCAGCCAGTTGAGTCCAGAACGCGAGTCACAGCCTCTCAGTTATGAATCCTTATATTCCA